CCTTTCATGGTGGCTGTGTTAAGTCTGGGAAATGGGAGACGCATTTTAGGGTATCTTTTTAGGGTTTGTGTCGGAATGTTGATCTCATTCGACCCTCGTTTGCCCTGCTACAACTTCTCCTCTCTTCTGCTGGTGTTGAAGGGTTCCAAGTACTGGCGTTGTGTTGAGAAGGGTGTTTTTGACATCATTGTATAAGGGACGCTGGACCCTATTTCCAGCTGAACAGCGATTTCGTCAACATGGACATATTTTTATTTTTGAACGAAATTGAAACTCTAATTTTTTATCTATTTTGTCTTCCGCGGGGATTAATTTGTGACACAAATGGGGGGGGTAAGGGGTAAGGGGTAAGGGGTAGGGGGTAAGGTGTAAGGGGTAGGGGATAAGGGGTAAGGGGTAAGGGGGTAAGGGGTAAGGGGTAAGGTGTGTGGGATAAGGGGTAAGGTGATAAGTGGTTAGGTGTAAGGGTGAATGTCTTGTACAACCATTTACATATTTTGTGTAATTGCATCAATTATCCCGTTTACTCTAGCAAGCTCGTCTTCTCCTGTTATCACCTGTACTTGTGGTCACTGCATTTCCTCTCATGTGCGTGGACGACTAATGTAACAGCCTCATAATCATCTACTCCACAACTGCTACGTCGAAAGCTATCCGGTATCGTAGTTTCTTACTGTCATCTGATGTGAAGTTGAATGATGGCAGGAACCCTCTCGCCAACAGTGATGCATATGTGAGCATAAACACACCGCAATCGTTGAAGTCGTGTTGCTTTGGAATGCCTTCCACTGTCCATATATGGTTGAACTGTTTGGTGTCGATCTCTTGACCTTGTTCGATCGATCTCATGTACAAAAATTTTGTGAACCCCCCTGTCACCTTCATCGCGAGTTCTTTGTCCAGTGTCAGCGAGTCGTAGTACTCGAATTTCCTGCGTCTCAAGTCTGCCACTAGGAGTGTCCAATGTTGGTTGTGCAAGACATGGAAAGGCGCAATAATCAAATCCATGTCGCTAATCACAACCTCTGTGAACCATTTGCGAACCTTATCGTCGTGGAACTTCGTATTGCTATCAAATAGTTTGGCAAAAAAAAACCGAGCTTAGAATTGTTATTCTAGGGATGCGCCCTTTTCCTGTTCTAACCACATTCTATTTATTTGAGTCGCAGTCTATATGCTTCACACGACACTCGTTGTCTAGTTTGACGAGGTTAAGATAAAAATTCACTATCTCCTCATTCAACCAATTTTTTTATACTATTAGTAAGCTAAAACCGTTAACAGTCATCGTGAGTTCTTCCCTTGTGTCTTCGTTATACGAGCTTGTTATGATGTCTTTATTCCCGATATCAACCGGCAATCGTGTGAGTGTCACCATCTCGTGCTCCGTCAAGTTCGTTGTTGCCAAGCGTACGGTCCATCCTTTTTTGCGCCTCCGATTATCCTCCATTCTTGTTTGCGCTGCACATGACCACGCGGCATGTCTTTATGTGAGCTACTGTTATAAGATGTGTGGTCCCAGTCATGCTATATGCACTCGGTTTGATGGGTTAACGCAAATGTCATAGCGAGTCTTACTTTAAAGGGGTTGGGTGCTTATACGAAAAACGGAGTTAACGAAGCGGAAATAATACAACGCTACATCGTTTATAATGCACTTTCGTCACTATGCATTATGCATTACATCATTTATTAACAACTGAACTTAATCATTGACAGTTGGGAGATAGCATTACATCATTTATTGACAACTGAACTCAA